TCCGCCAATATCACGTTAATCGAACGTTAATTTCCTCCTATCGTCTCCGTAATCGAAATTTTCCTTTTTTTTTTCCTCCTTCTTTCTTCCCTCGTTACAGCTTCAAACGCTCGAATATTTGCAATTTGCAAACAGTTATACATATTTATATATATATAAATAGTTAGATAAAATTGAAACACGTGTCTCAATTCCTATATATATATTTATACGAGTCATCGGCAATGCACTGTGATAGGAAACGGCCTTCTCTTGCAAAATAATTAACTTAATCGAAAGGTCGTACGTGACAGGAAAACTGTTGGCTGGATGGTTGAATCAACATACGAATCTGCCGTCTTTGTGCCGGATACCTCGATTATAACGATAACCGAATTGGCAGGAGGAAGTTTCAATCATGAATTATCGAGCTTTTGACCGATACTATGTAATATATCATCAGGAGAAATACGTATGCGTAATCCGCGATTACTCGTGCACACATGCGCGCAATTGTTACCAACCGTTCTCGTTCTCGTTTTGCTCTTGAGATGTAATAATATATTTGTATATATTTCACGATTATTGAAATTATTTCGTTTAATTCCTTTGAAGGTGGAATTGTAAAATTGGTTCAATCTTTTCGTAACCAACGATTTTTAATCATCTTTCTTAAAATAGGATTTTAAAACGTTAAAAGAGATTTCGTTCGAAATAGTTTTAAACTTTGAAATCGTACTTTAAATCACGAAACTTTTCTATATTTGTCGATATTTCATATGATTGTTAAAGTATATTTTATAGTACATTTTCGCGAAATTTTGATAATTTATACGAGTATATTCGTTTTCAATTACAAATTAATTTTGCTATTATATTTTGGAAATTGAAAATAATAAAGAGACGTTTAATTGTCGGATTATCTCCTCCTCGAATGTTTTATGCGTCAACATTTAAATTTCTCTGCCCAATATTCTCGAAGAAATTGGCATTACTCCAGAAGGAACGTTCGTGGCAATCTGTCGATTTTTGCCATTTTTTTTTGGACACACCGCAAGAATTCTTGAGCTCTTGCTGAAAATATTCATATACGGGAATTAATTCGTAAATTGATTGACTCTCCGTTCGTTCGTGCCCTCCTTTGTGTACGTAATTTATGTATGTAAACCGGAATTTCCTTGGCAAAACTGTGCCAACACTATCTATCCTTTCGTCACGTGTAATTAATCTCTGTTTCGTTTATTCAAGGTACAGTTCGCACTTTCGATTCTTTCAATCCAAAAATCATTTTGTAAAAGGATATTGAAAAATAGAAAAAATGAAAAAAAAATTTGCAAAATTGTATGAAACGATTATTTTTTTAAAAAAACGAACAAATTGTATTCGAGGAAAAGTTTCGTTCAAGCAGGTTGCAAGAGGTATAAGGAATAAAAATGGCCGGTAATATTCAAAAGATCGTGTTGGTATTTGCCCTCATAACCAGCCCCAAGGGTTCGATAAAATTGTCTTCATACCGAGGCATATATTCATATCTTATGAACGTGATGCAGTGGCTCAATTTTTTACTCCATCGACTTTTTTCAAATTTTTTTTTAAGCTTGGATCAAGTGATACAAATCTTCTTGTCGTTATACTGTTGTAAATATATTTAATTCAAGAAAATTCGATAATTAAATATTTGTAATGTTTCGCGTTATAACGTTGTTAAATAATTAAATAATTTTTACGTATTAAAAGTATAAGTTTTTATCATGTTTGTATATATATATATATATGTATAAATAATCTGCAATTTAAATTTTTTGATGATAAATAATATTTTTATATATATATATAAATATATATTCTTTTTAAAAATTTTATATGTAAATTACTTATGCATAAAAGTATTTACATAAGTCGATAAGTTAGACAGCGATCAAAAAGTATCCGATACTAACGCCATCTCGCGTTTGGATTCCCGAAGCTCTGATTTGTTATTAGCATAACATAACATGCAAGGAGGTATTCGAAGCGTAGAGAAGGAAAACAACATTGTGCGAGAAAGATAAAGAACATTCCCGCCATTTTGAAAATGCCATATAAAAAGATTCATTAATTACTCGTGTTTTATTAAAAATTTCGGCATTTTCAAGCTCGAATCTTGTAGCTAGAATTTCAGACAAGTTTCTTTTATTAATTTTAATGTAAAATTCTTTTTCATTAATTATTTATTAACGATTATCATAGACGGTGTCTTGATTTTTATTCCGTGATCGAATAATAAACAATTTATTTATTTAAACAATAGTATAATTGTAAATAAAAATTGTTTATGAAACTATGAAAGAGAATAATTTTAAAGTTAAATTTTACACGTAAGAAATAATTAAATCTTCCACGTACGTCTTCAAATGAAAATGCTTTAAACACTTCTTTGCACATTCTGTTATGCTACTAACAAGTCAAAGCTTCGATGATTAAATCACAAAATGGCGTCACTAACATTAATTTAAATTTAATTTCTCTAATTTAACTCTTGGTAAACTATTACGTATATATTTTTTATTTCTTTTTTTAATTATATTTTTCTAAAAGTAAATTCTAAATTCTAAATTCTTCTAAATTTTTAGTAGAAATTTCAATTTCTAGAAAATCAGAAAAGATAATAAATAAAATAAACTATAATAGAAAATAATAAAATAACAAAAATATTAACTAAACATTTATGGAAAAAAAAATAAAATGATTAAATATATTATTTGAATTCTTTATTTTCAATAATTTCATTACCAGAAATGCATTGCATCAAATTATATAGTTTTTTAAATAGTAATACTATGATTGAATTGATTTAGTACATTTTACATATTTAATATTGGAATTAACATAATAAAAATATCTAAAATTTATAGTAGATAAATATTCTTAAATGTTATTTTATAAGAAATACCAAATAATGTAATTGTATTTATTATAAATCCATGACATTAACAAATATATATATGTATACGTATATATATATATATATATTTTACAAAATATGTAAAAATATTGTTAAAAAAAATATATTTTGATTAGAATAAAGTTTTGTACTATAAATGTGTATATTTAAATAGTTAAAAATATATTGTATCATATAAAATATATGTTTCAATTATTTCATTTATAATTATTAAATTTCTCTTCAATATGTAACACAATATCTATTAAATTCAATTTTTTAATAATTAAATCTTGTAATTGTAAAAAAATTGTAAAAAATTCCTAAATCAATCTATCATTTTTTTTT